AACCGACGGCAATGGCGATCATGCTGTCACTTCTTATCAGACCAGAATGCTTGAAATAGTAATAGTATGTACGTGTACTCTATGTGTTGACCATAGAGGTTTGCGCTCTTTTCCCGTCCCTAAAATAGACCCGATCCCTGTCCTCCTTACACATTCTCACTTATATTGTATGAATTTTGAGTTTGGCAACGATCAGTGAAGTTCGCTTCACTGTATTACGCTGTACAATGATGATGATGATGTTGATGAGGCCAAACTGTGCCAAACAAATCACGTACAGTCAGCCTTATAAAAAGAAAAGGTTCATGATTTGCACGTGGGCCGAATACTGCCAGGTTGCCCAAGCCAACGGGGCGGTGTGTGAAAACCGCGGGCCAGTGTCCAGTGCATCGGATCATGCTCCCTTTGGACGGGGTCAAACGTCCAAGGTGCCCAAGACACATCGATACCAATCGAGCCGGTGATCACAGCACTCACATCAGTTGTTCTTCAATGTTTGATTCCATACAAAGGGTGCGTAATTTGGTTAACTGAACACCGACCCAAAACAGATTACAGTTTAACAGTCCGAACTCAGACGTGTTAGAATATTATTAAGCAGCTTTAACCGCCGGGCAGCCTGCCGGGTCAGGTTTCGACCGGCAGAAGACTCCATTTGTAAATATCTACCTTGGCGATCTGGCCGTATTTCTTCCACGAGTAATCAGGTCGTAGATTGGTTTGTTTTGAATGAAGGTTGTTCTACTGTGAGTTTAGCACAATCTGGACTCAGATAAGTGTGGAGTATTTGAAAATATGTCTTCATCTTAATCATTTCAGACGTTTTGACGTACCGATATTAAACCAACTTGTTCCTCGTCTATGCCCTAGTGTGCTACTGCACTTGAAGCCTTTATTTAATTACGACTTGTGCGCAGTTTGTCTGTCGTCCGGTGCAAACTGTTGGAATCAAAATTTGCATTGCAGTGACCTTAACAATTTTAGGACCAGAGACAAGACTGTTTTCACCGACATAGCCCTGCTATGGAAGCGACCTTTTCTCAGATTTTGGTTTGTCTTGAATCATGCCATTCACTCACGTGCTGAATGTTCGTATTGTCTTGGCTATCTTCGTTCATATATTTTGATCGACGGTCGGAATAATCGTAATGTTTGTTCCCATATGTTATTCTAGTCTACTTTGTTGGTCTCAGCGGGCTGTGTGGAGGATGCAGACACTGCTCCACTCGAAGAACCAGCTCCGGAAATTCCCTCCACTACCGCTTCCACCGCTTGGACAGAAGTACGTTACAATGGTGCAATATTAGTTTTTTTTGTCGTGACCAATATCTGTAGCCTCATTGCCTCGAATTTAACTCTATCTTCTTAGCTTTAGATTGTGCTTTTTTTTCAAAGCCATTTCTGAGTATATTTAGTTGCGCGGTCGCGCATTTGTTTCTCCACTCGCCTGACGTCGATAAGTCTATGATCACAGTCAACTGATTACAATCAGGGTCAAGTAAAACAGTTCACCTTTCGTTGGAGAAGTCAGCTACCCAGTTTTTGTGAAACTGGTGATCGGACGTAGGTAACCAAAATCACTCTCATGAGGAGGCCTCAATTGTCATCCTACCTTCATCAACTGAGTAATTGCGTCCCTGATTGGTTTCTGCTTATGTTCTGGCAGTTTGTGTGGTTTAAGTAGGTTTAGGGTTGGTTTCGCATAGAACAGTTTGCTGTTAGACCGATTATTGAATGAAAGTGCGCGAGTTCCTCTCAAGTGTGGTCACTCGAGTTTACTTGAATTTCCTTATGAATTGCTTTCATGATTGGTAATCGCAGAATGACTGCATTCCTGTTATGACGAGTTCTTCTTACGGTCTTCACTGCCCGAGGAAGCCTGCTCAAGCTTTTTCTATTTTTTTCTAGCTGACATAATAAGACGTATCTAAACAATACGAATATGATAATGAAAGCACGACTGACGCATATCTCCGTATATAATTATTCGACAAGCATTTCCTCCCGTACAGGTTGTGTTTGAAATTTAGTTAAAACGGTCTTATGCTAGTCAAGTTGTTTCAAAAGCTGTCGTTATTCTGACGGAATACACCTGCTGGTGCTGAACCCTATTCCAATCAATGAGGTTCACGAAATTTTATGTTCAGCTTCAGTTTCAGTTCTCGTAACCATTAACCTTGCACTGTCCTTTGACAGGTTTGGTTGCTGTCTGGCGGTTATACATTTGAGCTGAGTGTGAGTTAGTGTGCCATCAAACTCACACCAAATCTCCATGACCCCCGTACTCCTGATTGAACAGAGAAGATTGCGGCTATTGCCAATTACCGCAGCCTTCTCCGTCTCACCACTTCTCGCTTTCATTTTTCAGGCTCCTGGTGACCCGTCGTTTAAGGAACAGTCATATTTTACATCCACTAGGGCCGCGGCGGTTATGGAAACCCATCGCTTATGCTTTAATCAGGCATCGGAATTTATCGTCATTTTGGTACATGCTCGAATTGCTTCCTTTTTAATGGAGCTTTGGTGTTGCTAGTAGACATTTTGAACAGACTTTATTTGCACGCAGTTCGACGTCAGACAAGTCTTATGAAAAACTAGTCATAACGTTAGTTTACAATGCAGTCAACGAGGGTGCGCGGTACATCCTTGGGACTGGATAGATATTTAAGGGAGATGAAAATCAGGATAAAATCCTCAGCTTTTAGATCGGAAAAATGGGAGCAGTACAACCAATGGGACAAACTCCATTCCATGAAAATTTATTCTACACATAATGAGGAATCCCAGACTTTCTAAGTCTGAATGCTTTAAAAAGGTTTGCAGGCACAAGCTTAGGCAAAATTGATGTGAGGAGACTATGGAGGATCGTGACAAAATGTAATGTCAAGGTATATAGCATTTCATAGGGGGAATTTGTCGGGCGTAGAGGAAATGAAGCGTGAACTAAAAAGCTGGGGAGCACACTGTAGAGCTGTTTCAACTTGGTTGGATCTCATCAGCAGTGCGAATCCATCGATCCAACTGGGAATCGAACCTGGGACCTCATAGGCAAATGCAAGCATGCTACCCACTCAACCACCCGGGGAACTGATCAGACCGTTTTTCATTTTTCCATTGTGAAAGTTTCCAACTGAGTCATAGCCCCGGATGTTAATGATGAACTGAGTGGAGTGCAATGCCCGCAACAGGCCAAGATGGGTTGTGTTTCATCGTGTAAATGCAAAAAATGAGCTGGAAATGTATGTTATACAGGTTTGAAGATTGCGAAGGCAGGTAACTTCGCGATAAGGCCACGCAAGTACAACATCTATATGCAAGCAATGAATGATCAGTGGGTCGTTAATCTATGAAGTGAAGAAGAAAGGGGACAGAATGATACTTCGTAAAACACCAGAGGCGACTTGAAGAGAAGAACACTTAGAACTACCAGAAGTAAATTGTTTCCAGCCCACGCTGTTAAACACACGGCCGAGTGCCTACAAGATACAATACCCATCCCAGCCCAATTAACGATGCATCTCTGGACAAAAGAGGGAAACAAGGAAAATCTATATATTTGGCTGATCTCGAGAGCGAGACTAAAAACCAGGGCACTCCGCTTTGATTCATAAAATGATAGTTTCCTGGACGAGTCAGAATTCACAGCCCCCGTCACACATCTGTCTAAGTGCAACCTTACCCTAGGGAAATCTTAAGTGTTTCGTCGCTTCAAGCCTCAGGGCTTAAGTCTCCGGTCGTTATGATCTTTTTCATAGGTAATTATTTTTATTTTTATATATATTTTTCACACATCTGAGTTCAGACTGTGTGCCAAACAAATCACAGTACAATCGACTTTATAAAAAGAAACGGTCCATGATTTGTTCTTGGGCGCGATACTGCTAGGTTGCCCAGGCCAAACCAGTTGAATTTCCATAACGAATTCACCACCGGAGTCTTCGGCTAACCAAAGTCTGATTCGCAAGGCAGCGGGACAGTGTGTGAAAACCGCAATCTATTTGCGGGCCACTGTTCATTGCATCGGATCATACTCCATTTAAACGGAGTCAAACGTCCAAAGTGCCAACACACCTCTATACCTTATCGAGCCGGTGACCACTAATACGACCAGGCAGGTGTGTGCGTGATTCGTACGCCCCTTCTTAGTCAACTCCATTAGATGAACTGCCAGTGTTTCATCGACTCGGTTATAGCCTCGGACATTGGCTTTTTGTGTTATCACCTCGATGAGAGAACACCTTCGCCATGAGAAGATAGTGAATAGGGCTTCCTCAGTAGAGTCTGTTTGAGACGCTTGATCGTGTTGGAGCATTTCGCGAGGTGCGAAGGAGATGTGTTCAGTTGCCATTCGAGCCACCCACTCGCAATCATACTGAGACTTTAGGAGTTTATTACGTTAACTGGCTTCCTTCAATTAACCCTATTAGATTGCAGTCGTATCAGTGATATTAAAATATAAGTATTCTCATTCAACTCACGAGTTTCAGAAAACAAGTCCATCTTTTTGTTTTCCCTGTTTGATGCTCTGACTGATTCGTGCATATATTTACGGGAATTGCCATTTATTTGCATCTCACCTGATACATATTGGAGAAATCGGTTCCTCTCAAACTCATGATTGTCATTAGGTAGATTATTGTTGGTTGTCACCTCCCCGTCTTAATTTTTTTTTTATCGTCATTTCTACGTTCATCTCAGCAATTTCCATCTTTTCCTCCCACTTCAGCACGCAAGTACACCTCGTGGCGGCTACGAGGAACAAAACGAATCCACACCAGCTGGTCAACAGTTCACTTTAACAGAAGCCATGGCGCTTGTTAATGGAGAAACAATGCAAACGGTTATCCTGACAGACGAGAGTGGCAATGTGTTGGATCAGAAACAAGGAAGAACCGGAGAGCATGTTATCATTGAAATGAGCGGTAACTCTTTGGAATATGTCTTCCTCGGGCCCACAGAGAACGGTGAACCTATTACAGTGAGTTTTGTCATTGAAAGATGAATTTTCACCTCACGATCGATGGCTCAAGTTTGAAATTCACTGAAGTGTCTGTCGTAATAGGCATGTAACTCCATCACGGCGAGTACAAAATTAAATTTTCGACACAGTTCAATTGGTACTTTTTTGATTTCTGTTTTAGTCAGACAGATATTGAAAGGACTGTGCAGGAACAATATATTGAATGAATAAAACTTTTACCTGCAAAATTAACAAAACCAATTGAGCCACCAAGTATTAGTTCGTTGTTCGGGCTTAACACCACGCGGCTTGGTACGAAGCTCATCCTATTGGAGTTTTGTGTAGTTTATATCACTCCTAGCTCCAGGGTTTAATTTACCAATTTCCTTCCCATACTCTGACACGCTGTTTTAAACTAAATATGCCTTAGCTCGTTTCACTCTTCACGCTCAGAAGGCAATTTGATACCAATTGGTTTGAGTTTCCTCTCATACATCTTTCTGAAATCGTATTCTTTACATGGGATTATGCATCCCTCCAGTAAAATCAATCGTTTCCAGATATTTCACCCTCAGAACACCTGTTGCTTACAATCACGAGAATTTACCTTCTTTTCTTATATTGAATATACAATACAATTTTCAGGACCGGGAGGAGGTCAATCAAAGGGCTGCTTTTCGGCATTCTTTTCGTAGACCCACCATCTCTGTCTTCCTAGATCTGAAAGCGGCTTTTGACTCAGTCGACCGCTCTAAACTCTGGCGCTGCCTTTTTCTGAAAGGTGTGCCCGAGAAGTTAATTTCAATATTACAATCGCTTTATGCTAATAGCCGAAGCCGAGTCCGGGCTTACGGCACTTTTCGTCCACGGAAAGTGGTGTTCGTCAGAGTTTCCCTCTCTCACTGTTTCTATTTAACTTCGTGATAGATTTAATTCTTGAAACAGCCCCATCCTGGTGCGAGTAGGATAGTGACATCGATTTACTCCTAGGTGGCAGGCTGTTTGACTTGGAGTACGCAGACGACATTGTGCTACTAAGTGAAGATCCAGGTAAGTTGCAAGCATTTCTGGTTAACTTGAATGCCAGTGTAGCCAAACTCGGTATGCGTTTTGCACCTTCGAAGTGTAAAATGTTAATACAGGACTGATTTGGTCCAGCACCCGGTCTCACTCTAACTGGGAAAGTAATAGAGCAGGTGGATAAGTTTTGTTATTTGGGCAGCTACATCTCACCCGGGAGGCATCACAGATGAAGTGTCAACTCGTATACAGAAGGCTCGGTTGGCATTTGCTAACTTGAGACATCTGTGGCGCCGTCGCGACATCCGGCTGTCTGTGAAGGGTCGAGTGTATGC